CTTCCTCTCTACAGAGCGCCGCCCCACCAGGCGAGCGACGCGGAAGCGGATGGCACGGAGCGATGAGACATGGGCAAGGTCCCGACTGATCACGGCGTTGTGGCAATGCGAGGGTCAACCCACCCTACAGGAGCGTGATGTACGTACACGCTGGGCTGACCCTGCAACCGACGCAGTCAACACTTCTTCTCTAAAGAGGGCCGCTCACAAGTGTGAGCGATCCAGAAGTGGACATCGAGGGCTATCCACAACGCTGGTGACGGGAAGAGGATAGGATCCGTGGTTGAGCTTGCTTGCGACGTGTCACTTCTGTCCATCTTCTCACGGGTAATCGGGATTCTCACCCGCATTCGCGGCGACCACGTGACCAGTGACCCGCCAGCCCGCGCCTCGGCCAGGTAGTGTTGCCGCATTTGGCGAACTGGCCGGAACCAAGCCCACAAAACTTGTACTTGCACTTATTATCAGTCCGGATAACACACCACGTCGCCATGTAGATGCTAAAAACCGCGAAGGTTAACAAGATAGGCCGCAGTCATAACCGATATTATTACGTACCGTTCACGTGGGCTATTTTGGCAGGGATTCTGCGGATTCGCTGCCCCAGGTTGCAGGTGATTTCAGCACTTTTACGGTGTCGGTGTCGCGCGGTGTCGGCTATTTCCGGTGGCTTTGCGGTGACGGCGAAATCAAACGCCCGTGACGGGATCGCGCTCAGCGACGCGTCAGCCCCTGTAATAGACTATTATCTGTATGTCCTGTATCTAGTCATTCTACATTGAATTAGAGCTTGGTGTTTTCCCCACGAGACAAAGCTGATATGTGATTGGCTGGGGACGAGACAAAACGAACATCTGATTGGCTGATTCCGCCGCGTCTCGGCTGTTCCGCACTTTTTTCTCACACCTTACGGCTGTGTCTTGCGCTTCAGCTTCAGTGCTTCTGAATCTTCCTCGCTGATCTGTAGCAATCTGATTGTAGCAAGTGTAGGGTGAGCGGCCGGTGTCAGGTAAATATTTATGGGTAAGTGTGTTCAGTCCGGGCGGTACAAGTACAGAATTTAGCAGTCCACGGGTGTTCTGAAGCATATAGGAAATAAAAATTTAATTAAATGAAATATACTAAGGCCTTGGGGTTTGGGTAACTTGGGGTGTGTACGGGTGAATGGAGAGATGGACAAGTGGTCTGGGAGCTGTACAGGCAAGCTGATAGATGCATGCGTGAGCCGAGAATTGTACAGGTGAAGTGAGAGATGTATGGGCGGATGAATAAATCATGACTTAAGTGTCTGCACGCAAAATGTTTTAACTGGTCATTATAAATCATCCCGCTGAAAGTTTACTCGACAGCCAACTATGATAATAGCACAATTATGTTTACAGAACCGTACCGAGAGCTTTTTTCTCCTGTGGCTGTCCACGGGTTACGCACCTAGTTCTATCCTAACAAACATGTCACACGATATCACACTCAGCGAGATAAGTCCGCTTGTCACTGACAATCCCACCCTGTCGCCCATGCCACTCACACAAATTCTCGACTTCGTCGATCACTGCAGGATACTCCGATCGGACTTCGCGTTTGTTCAGCAAGGCAAATGTAGTTCTGCCAACGCTCCGCCTGTCATTCTCATCGGGCACGCAAGGTGGCTCTCTAGCCGAACGCGTGTCCCGTTCCCTCTACTCAATGTTCTATGGACTGGCCTCAAGAATACTATATGGGCTATGCCGTCGCCTCAACAGCGGCTCAACAACATGGTGGGCGACATAGAGGAGACAGGATGGAAGAAAGGGATCGGTGAGTCGTCAGATCTGTTTCAGACCGGAAGAATGACATTATAGCCATAGCATATATAAACATCTATCCTCAGTCGCTGAACTATTCTGATCCGAACTGCCCCAAGGACTCTGAGCTTCGAAAAGGGGAACCAAAGCCAGCCGTCGCCTTTACGCTCGACGACGGCGTTCAATATGCGTATAACCGCTCGTTACAGTGTGCGGTTGGAACTACCGCAATAACTACATCGTGCATGACGTACTCGTCACCGACAAGGACGGCAAAAGCCAGCACGTGAAGTATAGAACGTATTATCAAGATGTACCCGAATACATACAGGTCGACGAGCACCGGTATGTCGAGGCAAGACTGGTTGCCAGAGGGAGCTGAATCGGATCCAGCGAGACTGCTGGACGACGAGTCGGATGGCAAAGGTGATAGGATTGTGGATGTGGCCAGCTTAGCGCGCTGAAGAATCTCAGGAGGGACCGAGCCTGGCTCGTAGAAATACCAGACGTCCTTGCCGCTCGGGTGCGGCTTGAAACACTAACAAGAGGTTAGTAATGAAAGAAACATAGCGAAATGTGGAGACGCATCTTGACATAGCACTGTCCATAATGCGTAGCCTTCCTACCACCAACGATCGCAGGGTAAAGAAGCGTCTCCTCCGGACACGAGGGACATATGACATAGCCATCGTCGGTGTTCTTGAGCATGGGCTTCTTTCGAGGTGCCATGGGTTTCGCTAGTAGTTGTTGATATGAAGATGGTGCGAATGGCGTATGAGCCATAGAATAAGAGTAAGTTAGAGGGACTCGGGGACGCGAGGAATAAGAAGGAAGAGAAAGAGAAATGGGAACGAGACGAGGAGACGAAGCGGACGAGATCGAAATTTATATCCTGCCCAAGAGCGAATGACGAATGCCTGGGGCGTCGTAAATCTTGTGCATTGCCAAGAATAAGGATGGCTACGCATCATTGGAATACTGACTACGCTAAGGGAGAGACGCGACTTCGTCACGCGCCTTAATTTTGGCATCCCGCGCACTGTAGGGTTCGAATGATGCGAATTTTGCACTACTCATTTGCACTGTTTATGCGTGAAATTTGCGTTCTTTCAGTGCAATTTTTGCTTACAGTAATGCAATTTTTGCTATAAACCGAGTTGCAATTTTTGCCGGGAAAAGTTAAGATTTTGCTTATCGATTTTGGGTACTCAAAGTGCAAAATTTGCCACATTTTAGTGCAAATTGGCTGGCATAGACCCATTACCCTTAGATATTGATCAACTCGTATTCACGCGTTCAAGCAGCATAAATCAAGCACACGACAATATATTGAGACATTGACTACAATACAGGGCTGGCGTGGTTCTAAATACAGTACATCATGACATGGGTAACGCATCATGCCCAGGGAGGGTGGGGAGGGATGGGGAGAGGTGATGTGAGAGGTGGAATAGAACGGAGACGGGTAATGCGCTAACAACACGTTGATAGTAATGACGGGGCAGGGCGCATATAACAAGTAGAATATGGAGTGCTTACTTTAGTGCGGCAGTGGTGGCATGTTCTAAGACTGGGAGAGTGCGGCGTCAGTACATGCATCAGACGAGTAGCGAGAGTAGAGCACTTACCATTATGGCTGGAAGAGCGCTCCGGCACGATGTACGGGCACGGAAGCGATGGTGACTGATGGAACGGAAAGGGGACGGAAAGGGGACGATGGAGGTGGGACGCAGAAGAAGGTAGAACTCAAGTGCGTCATAAGTGTCCACGCTTAGTCATCGATTCCCATCAGCACAGCCGATGCTACAATCGCGCTCCACTCCGCGAAGTCACAAAATTCGCATTGCTCTACTAGGTATCCAAATCTGATTTGCACCATTTTGCTGCAAATCAATCGATTTGGGTACCGGTAGTGCAAATTTTGCATCAACTACTTATCATAGTGCTAGGATCGTCGCCCATAGCTCAGGTCATCGCGGTGCTCCTTGTCTGTGTGTGCATGTTGAGTGCGCGCTCATCGTGGGATGAGACCAAGTGAAGGAGGCGCTGTCAATGACAGTATGGACATGTGCGAGCTGATCTTTTGGGGGACACTTAACAAAGTAACTTGCAAGTAACTTTCGGCGAGCCAAGTTAGATAAGCAAGTTAGCTCGGTGTTTTGCGGGCGAGAGCTAACTTTTGCTAACTTCTTCTAACTTTCATTGCATCTCCCCTTTAACATTGGTGTAATTAGACATCTGTGGGTACGGAATCGTTTGTTTACATAATTTCGGGGGTCTCAAAAGCCATAAAAACACAATTGTGAAACTCACATGCACTTTTTTTGGTCGAGTTAGCTACAAGTTAGCTACAAGTTACTTTGACGAGCGACACATTGAACTTGTGAGCAAAGTTAACAGTGAGATGGCGACTTCCAGCTTGTGGGGGGATGGTTTCACTGCAAGCAATTCTTAATAATAGCATCAGCATTACTTGAAAATTATGATAGAGATTAAGGTGAACGGATTTTAATAAATAGTTCCTTATTATCTAATGGTTTTTATCAAAGACGGAGCTTTTCAACTGTCAGTAACAGACGCGTTCCTTTCCCTGGCTTTGATAACAATTTAAATAGTGAGGAGCTAATTATTGAAACCCATTCGCCTTAATCTTTATAATACTTTGTAAGTAATAATGTTACTATTATTGAGAAATGCTTGCAGTGTTTGCATAATTTCCATGGCAGCTGTCACCAAAATGCGGCGCTGTGTCATCTGTCAATTACAGCGCTTGCGCGGATATTCTTTAAATTAATAGGTTTTGAACGGTCATTATGGGATATAGAAATATAGCATTGCTTGCTATCTACATCACATAACTCAGAATAACCACGCTATGAGAGGTTGATTGATTGATGTAATACCTTGAAGAGCAATTGAGCTAAGTCACTGCATTCTCACCGATCATTCTTGCACGACATGTTTAAAGACTAATTATGCAAAATTACTCCAAGCATAAGGTAGACAAGGCAACATTGGCAAACGAGCTTGATGGACCTCCTTCAGAATAGTGGTGTTATTTCAAGTGTAAATGTGCCTTAAGTGTCATTCAATAAATTACTATGAGAAGACAAAGTGAAAAGTAACTTGGTACAAGTTACAAGTTAGATTGTCGACGCGTGGGAACAAGTTAGCCCAGGTAACTGTTGGGTCATCTTATCTTGGCTGTGTTCTGTGATCCGGTGTGATGGGTACATGAACTCGTTCCGAACGCTGATCAAAGCGTGCGCGTAGGGAGAAGTGTTAGAGGGAGGCACTGCAGGCAACGCGGGATTTTCCCGTCACAAATAATGACTGGAAGAGGTGTAGGATTGTTAAAATGTTTCGAATCACCATTTAGTCGGGGAAAAGGCGATGAAAAGGGTTACGTTTTTGATGCCTTTTTGCATGGAAAATGACACCTGTCAGCAAAAAGGATAACTTTTTGACCTGTAATCTGTTTTTCTGTGTTTGAGTGACAGTGCGCACTCTACTTCTGGACAGGTGTCATGCAAAAAGGCATCGAAAATGTAAACTTTTCCACTACTCGTTTCTCGACTAATAGGGATTGAAACATTATAACAATTCTACGCCTCTTCGTGTCATTATTTGTGAGGGAAAAATCACGCTTTGCCTGCAGTGAGGGCGGGCTGCACGAGCGAGGAGACGCCCAAACCTGACGCGCGACGCCCGTTCAGCCTACGGTCACAGACGGCTTGTGCATGGTCCCACAGCCAGCAGATGGTCGGCTTTTGTTTTCCGTTGCTTGGTTGCAGACTCCTGTGCTATTCACAGCACCCTCGCTCGAGGCTGCTCCGAAAGACCGAATGCAGGACCGGAGAAATGCCCCAAATTACACTTACGCACCCGTTTACGAAGCGATGTAAAATGTGGGCCGTGTCAGCTCATGCCCACAAGACGACGGGATCGACTAGTTTGTTGAAGGAGAATTGTTCGAATGCGAATTATATTGAGTTGTAAAATGCATTGACCAATCGGAAAATATGGTGTCCCCTCTGTCGATGCAGTAAGGCCACTTCACTACGTATGGGAAGAAGGTGTGGCATCATGCTGATCCACTTTTGGCTTATCATAGTCGATAACAGTGACCCCGACAATCACCACGCGCCGCAGTAGCCAGCTTACAGGGTAGCCTGGATGTGGAAACCTATTGACTGGACACAGAACTCCCCGAGACTACATACTGAGAGATCTGATGATCAAAGACAAGGCTCACGAGGCTCAAACTGAAGGTTAGGTAGGGCGTGCGATGAGTAAGGCTGTACATTCCTCAAAATCCAGATCTATGTCCTACGTTGGAATTGATCTGGAGTGGCTAACAGGTAGCCCGTATACTTATTCTACTTTATCGACCCTTCTTTGGCGGGAAATCAACGGTTTTTTTGGGCGTATTGTCCCGCTTTCGCTTTTTGGCTCGCATGTCGAGAATAAGCCGGGAAACTTGGATCGTCAGGACCTATTTACGCCAGACGTTGCGGAACGCCGTCGTGTTCGGTGCAGGACATAACACCTCTCCTATCACCAAGCGATGGTAGGTGAAAGGTCTTTCAACATGATGTCTCCACATGCACGCTGCTCAATAATATAGTGATCTTTCTTTGCTCTGAGAGAGTCATGGGTAGATATAGGGCATTTCTGAATGGCATTTTATGCTGGCATTGACATGTATTTTATCTTGGGGCCAGTTGAAGCAGAAGGACATACATAACATGTATACAACAAGAAGTAAAACCTCTCATTGGGCCATCAATGCATCAGACACCCGTTGCGCATCACAAAAGTAAAATCCGTATCTATTCGGATTTTTGGAGCTATTTTACGGCGTGTCCCATGCTTTGGAACATATGACATCCGGAGGGTGGGACAGTGGGGGAGCTAGCGGCCGAAAAGTACAACATGGTTCCACACGAGCGGGATGGCGAGCAGGTGAATCAAAAGGCATACAAGTGTGCCATATGTAATGCATTGGTGAGCTAGGAAGAATACGTATAATATAGGTAGTGTATTGCTGGTCTCGGTAGCTTAAGTGTGTCTCAGGTAACACATTGGATGGTATCTGTGGGTCCAGGTGAGCAAAACCAGGTACGGCTACGATCAACGATGCGTCTTGTAGCATCCAGATGTATACGCGCCCTTCGATTCTATTACAGTTTCGTTTCATTTTTCTAAAGGCCAGCCTGTCGCTGATGCTTTCCTTAATGTCTGTAGAGCTGAAATGCAGTGGCCACATACTATGCCGGAGCCCGCAATGAAAACCGTCACCCGTATTAATGAAATTTGTACCTAGGGTCTGTAGTTTTCATTTCTCTACCAAGCCGCGCAATACGGTCACAGAGTAGTTCCATTAGATAGCCCACGTTCAATCTTGTAGGTATATACCAAGGGACAGGGGAGGGACAGTCGAATTTCATTGCGGGTGACGATTTTCATTGCGAGGACCGCGGTACCCTGGGTTCCGCGTGGGAAATAGCCGCGCTAAGCTTTGCCACACAAACTTAACCGTGCCTCGCACCAGCATTACTCCCCAGCCTTTTGAGCCAGCACTTTTATCGTTACGATGCATCCCTTCTTCAACAACGAGCAATGTTTGTACAGCTTTTGCGAGCTCCTTCGGCGTAACCGGAAGAACTCCACACTATTATCTCTGGCTGTGACGAACCATGCATTCACAGCGACGGCGATTAACGCCCTATGGCACACCCTCGAGGCCTTTGCGCCCATCGTTTTGTGTCTTCCTGAGGATATGAGGACATCAGTGAACTGGTCAGAAAGGTATCATAATCCTCTGGTGCGTTACTACCATACTGTCAGATGCGATCATCCATGAGCCTCGTTCAGAACATCTTCCGCGCACTCACGGAGAGCGAGTGGATGCATTTACAGGCCTACACTGATCGTATTCGTGTGCTTCGTCACGACGCTACAAGCCCCACGATCCCTATTGACAATTCTGCTTTCACGTTCCTCTCCCACACTCGTGCCGCGAATGTAAAACTGTTCTCTGGCTTGCGCTCGGTCAGCTGGAATGATTCTTGCACGAGCAGCGCGTGGACAATGTTCAACAGGTGGCTGCCGTTGGAAATCCAGGCCATTGATATTACATTGCCCTCATCCCCAACCAGCGGAGTATATGCTGATGAATTCGTCTCGACCCAAGCGCGGGCTTGGATAGGGACGCTACACTCTTTTTCACAGGTGCAGTGCCTCATACTGCGGCACGACCCACTCGACCCGAACGATCATGATTACAAAGACGACATATCTCCCGAAGTAATGGCGATGGCTGGTCTTTCCGAACTCCGTTGTGGATCAGTCAACGAGATTGCCATCAGATGTTTATTGGAGCGCCCATGTATGCGACGGCTGGACATTACCCTGCCAGCCCAAAGCAACGCAGACGCGTTCTGTAACCTGGAGGTAACGTCTTCCCTCAACCATATATCCCTCCGGTCCCTCTCCTCGTTGGATCAGGCCGGAGGGTTTATCAACGCGCTGCAGTTCTTGCCAGAAGAGCTATCAATTGTGGCCCCCTGCCTCCCTCACGAACAATTCGTAGCATTGCTATTGCGGTTAGCCCAGCGCTACTCAAGGACTGATCACCAACGTTTCGGTCTGTCCTTTGAGGGTATCCCATTCCCTGTGATTGTAGATGATTGGATCCTGGACGACAACGCCTTCATACCTACTATCACCCTTCAAGATGTCCAGCCCCTGATTAGCGACAAGCTACAGCATCTTGTCATCGAGGACTATATGCCGATAGATCTGTCTGATAACGATGTTACCGCGCTCGCAAGAGGGTTGCCAAGCATTATTACCCTAAGTATCTGTGGCAAGAGTGGGTCAAGGCCATTGACCAACCTGAGTTTGAACGCGGTGGTGGCAGTCCTGGAGAGCTGCCGCCGCATAACGGCACTTGGCCTTGTTTTTGACGCCAAAAAGGTTCCCTCCGTTGGGGCAAGTGGGAACGGCTTGTCGCCCCCGGTCAACCATAGCCTCAAGAAACTTCTGGTGGGTAACTCTGAGATAGAAGATCCGCCGAATGTTGGCTTCTTCTTAAAGGCACATGCCCCCGAGCTGACCATATTTACCTGTTCTCCAAACTCTCTGTATGTACGTGAGTGGATGGAGGTGGAGGACTGGTTGACCTTCATGTTGAACCAGATGGTACCGGCATAGTAACATAGCCAGGATAGATGCAGCTTCAACTGAGCATTCCGAGCGCCGTACTATTATGTGACGCAAAAGCATAAAGCAAAGAGCAAATTCAAATTTACTCGTAAACAGCTGAACTTCATGCAAACGGGTATTCGCGGATCACTCTTGTACCTACAAGCCTGTGTAACATCTGAAATGGGATTCTTGTCCACACGGCGCGATCATCAATTTAGTGCATATCTTCCATGTATAATGTTATTCGTTTTGACCCCAAGTATTTGCGAGTTATGTGTATCGTGAACAGATTCGAGGGTAACAAGGAGCTATCATCCTTTTTCAACGGATGCGATGACTAGCGCAGCAGCGCTCATCTAGAAGATGCAACAGCGGTGCAACTAATCATTACTCTTGATGGTGTTTCCCCGCGATCATGCCCGATCACACGTAGCCCTTGATTATCGCTGCCTGGCTCTGCGCCACTGGTAGGTCCGTTCTTCCCACCATTTTTGGTGTCCTTTCGTTCGGATAACCACCCCTTGGTTCCGCTAGTCGCCCCTTTCGACATTGTCATCCCGCATGGGACCGGTTAATGACCACCACACAGTCACTTACCATGGTGCATGACTTTTGTATAAAGTTATAGATGGATTATTCTTGATTGTAAAGGATGATAGGTCTTTAGGTGTTTCTACCTAATGGTAAGAGCTAGTGTTTGTATTTTGAAATGTGGGCCAAATCGCCCCCCTCTCAAGGTCGAAAGCGCTTTCATTTGTGCTCGGTGTAACTGGAACCATTTATCACCATGTTCGCGAGCTTGATGACAGGATACATAGTCCGTCGCATGCTGCGTGCGATGATATAGTACACTGTAGTTTCTGTAGTAGCGCCCCACCCAAATGACCTACTGCACCTTTGGCTTTATTTTCACACTGTACAGTTGACATGCTGGAAATGCATGGGCATGAGCCCGCCCCAAATCCTATGCATTTCCAGCATTATGCAAGTGTTTAGTTCCGACGATAAGCGCTGAAATCACGTGACTGTATTTTCGACAAAATGTGACATTAGGTAACAACTATCTAGCAAAGTAATTATCTAAGGAAGTCTGCTTAGCATTGAGTAGTTCTTCATGTCGTAACCAGGAACTTTGGTAGCCCGGTCCTTCTTTGTTGAGAGGCCAGCCAGAGTTGCATGAGCATGAGCTTCAATCTGTGTACGCTTCTAGTTGAGAGCGCGGGAAAGCGTTCCCTGATCAAACTCGAGTGCCCCTGTTTTGAGAGACCGAAAATAGTTGGCGGCGGCTGTTTGACTCATTGAATCTTTGTGAGAATACCAGTATTTGAAGACATGGAGCCATTATTTGGTTGTCAGATCATTCCGCTCTGTGCAAGAGTCGGAGGGGTTGTCTGTTGTCTTGACGCATTTGGAAGGTTGAGCTTGATTCTCGGGCTACTCAGGCCCACGCTTCAAGCAAGTCATGCGAGGAATTGATGAGGACTGCCTCTTTGGTTAAGAAGCAGCTTAAAGGTACATTTTTGAGCCCAAATGGGCGATGCTGAGCAGTGCTTGGCAATGTCGGAGGTACAAAAATAAGGCTACAGTGTGGCTATGATTGGCTATGATCAATCCCACAATGCATAAATTTGCCGACAGGGCTATGCATAACCACTTATGCAATATACTGCATAATTGGCTGGCAATAGCTCAGGACCAGCCAAAATCCTATGCATTATGGAAATTATGCATTATGGGGCTATGCATTTCCAACATGTCAACTGTCTTTGTCTTTCAGCTGGGCATCGCACACCGGGAGAATTATCTATCGTAAATACTAAGACTCCATACATATGAATGATATAAATTCATAGTATGTCACGTAAAACAATTCTTACTTGAAGTTTGAAAAAGTCGTAACAAGGTAACGAGTTGAAACTTGCACATATTTGCATTAACTTGACGGAAAATGTCTCAACTGTTTCCGTACTTGACAGACCTTGGAAACTTTACACAAGTTGACTCCAATTTCCCGGTGAGGTTTTTCCTGATGAAAACGTAGCTCTTTTGTGCTCGATCAGCTTCAAAAATGTCCTTCCATCCCAAGGTCAGGGAGGATGACAAAGTTGTGATGCATGAGCCGAGAATATGGACCGATAATTGGGCTGGCATTGAGATCGTGGGAAACTACAGATGGCGGAGAGCGTGATAAACAAGATTATAATGAGATAGACTACGGTACAGTGCACAGAGCGGGGTACAAAACTATCTAAGAAGGGCATCCTGGTGGCTAACGCGAGGCACGCCGCCGTCACATAAGCTTGATGCCGACATGTGGCCGATACATGCCCACACCACCACCAAAAGGTCCAGATCAGCACTGCAAAAGTAAGAGGACCTGAATTTCATGTCCAATCATGTTCTTAACATCTGAGTGCGTGTGGTCAGTAATGCACATATTATGGCCCTCATCTATGACAACCCTCTTTCAATACACCTGTAGAAGGGGGGAGACGTCAGGCTGCCCTGTGCATCGACAATCTGGAACTCGTAAGCTAGGAGTGAATGGGCTTCAGCAGGGTTTGGTTCCGAATAGTGATACAAGAGCATTTCGTCAACGCACTTCTCTGAGGATGCCTGGCACTCTGTGATTATCCATGGTACAAAGGTGAAGTCCATCCATCCGCATGCATTGCTGATGATGACAAGCTAGGCAATTGAATGTTGGTGTTAAATTTACGACGGGGAAGTAAAATATGATGAACAACTTGCATCATAATTTGGAAGCCCCGGTGCCAATATCCTTGCTGCACAGTGTTTTGGAAATGCGAAACACTACGAAACAAGGACAACATGCCATTGGCACAAGAGCTTTTGAAGCACGATGTAAGCACATCACAGTTCACGCCCCACTGCCCAGAGGCACTGTCACAAGTGTTACTGAACTGAGGTACGCAGCAGTGCATGGGTTATGTACCTCAGCTCAGTGACAGTGGTGACATTGTATGATTGGTAAAAGGGTACAGTGTGTTGCAGTGGCTCCCACGGGTGTCCCTTCATACTGTAGGCAATGGATGAGGGTGACTATAACAGCCACTGGATGCACAGTCAAGTTTTTTAAGGTGGAATACTGTGAAAAAACAGTGAAAATACCGAAATTGTTTTCAGAGTTTTTCAGGAAATAAAACCGGATAATAATCCATGATTTTCTCACCATATATGGTGGATGAAAATTGGATGAAAATCTTGTGAAGACTGGCTGTTAATCTATGAGATCATAGCGGCTTCTATACCGAGTACAGTACCGCCCTTGAGCTTGAGTTTGCACCCCCAATGCAACACGGCTCCCTATTGAATGCGACATGCGTCGAATGCCCTCTCCCTGACCTTTTTCTCAGAATACTGTATCATATATTGACCTGTAGGCTTGTATAGTTGTGTTTCACCAGCCCAAAATAAACTGTAGCGTGAACAAAAGGGAACACCCCCTTGTTGCATTGAGGGTGCCGTGTTGCATTGGGGGTGCAAGGGTGGTACATAGCTATTCCTGGGTGACAAATCCTTCATGGGAACTCCTTTGTGGGTGAGGACATGAACAATCAGAACGCGTATGAAATTCATCCGCTACATAACTTGAAGACAAAGGGCATATAAACCAGGGAAAATAAAGAAACGGGTAATTTATACGCTCTGACAGTGTTCCTAAGTTCCGGCGAACGGCTTAGTATTGTGGTGAGCTTGTCGTTGTAAGAATGGTGAGGTAAATTTTGATTCGGTGCCTACGTTGTTCACAGAAAAATGACTATTTACAGGCAGAGGGGGATTACAACCATATATACAGAAACGACAAAAACCCATGCACCTCACACCCATGCAGGCCCCATAAACCTAACCGTCCTGATTGTGAGTGCAATGAGCAATGTGGATGACCAGGGAGGCTACCATAACAAATGGGGATAACAAAGAGGAAGGCGTCTAAGGTAAGGAGGTCAGCAAGATTGATAACTACCTAGGAGTGCCGGAGCTTTTCAAGGGCTTCGAACCCGATGACAGCTTCAGTTGATGACGTCTCGGGGATCCTGCGAGGCAACGTATAGTGTCAACCCAAGATTATGTCGCGGGAGCAGCTGCGGACGTACAAATAGACGATGGCAGAGAGTCAGGGCTGAAAAGCCCTCGAGCGTACCCAGGCAGCCATAAGCCTTAACATTTCAACCTGGACCTGCAGCTGGAGCTGTCGTCGTCTGCTAGGAGGCGAGTGAGGCGTGGGTCAACAGCACTTAACTTGTAACATTGCAGTGGATTCAGTATGTGAAAAGTGGGAAGCGTGAGCAGCGTATGTACGGGTTTGTGGTAACAGGATTCAAGGTGCGGAATTGGGGAGGAGAGAGAAGGGGGAAGAAATTACATTACTTTACTCGTATATTCAAAATTTCTGCCCGCTTTTGTTTGGTTTTTTGTTTGTGTTCTTGATGAGATCCCATTCAGATCAGATTCACTCTCGATCTGGACATTCTCATCCTTTTTGGGCCGTACTCCCGCTGATAAGATAATGAACTCAAAGCTGCCGCTTCGTTCGTCGCCATCCTTTGGATCCTCCCCTCCTTCTTTCCCTCCCCGTTTCGGACCGTGAATCCTTACGTTCGCAGAATTGGTACGTCAATCGAGCTCCCTAACTTCAGCACTCGCTTATTTCAGCCCTGCTAGGACCACGGAGCAGCATCAGTACATACCATACCTTCATCGCTTTGGGCTATGTGCGTGTGCCTTGGGGGGCTGGCGATGCAGGAGCGGTATTTGGTTGCTGCAACGTGTACCTTCCTCGTATGTCCCATTTTCACTCACTCACCGCATTTTGTTGTTTATTAAACACTATAGGGTGCGCTGATCATGCGGACGGGGAGCAGTGACGCGCTGAGTGAGGAAAACGCGGCACTAATTGGGACGCACGGTCGGCGGATCATGCATCCGCTGCTCGAGGGCTTTGCGGGGTAGCACCACGCAATCTAACAGTGAACTTCTTCGAGGTGTCGAGTGCGATTGTTACTAAGCATCCGGCGGAGACGAGAGTGTGAATGGTGAGATTTGTTCACTGTGAGTAGGCTTGCGTTGAGCGAAGCTGCAGTGTGTTGAGGGGTGATAGGATGATTTTGTGGACTCCAAGGCGAGTCAGGAGGCGAAGCGCGCATTTGTCAAGGCTGTTGTTGGGTGCGCACTGTTTTGCATGTGTTTTCATGATTGACTAGCTGATTGGACGTGGAGCAGATCACAAAGTCCGAAGTGGACGAAGAGGTCGCACAGCAGTTTGGCGAAGGCGCACTCACAGAAGGCGCCCGCACTCTTCCTGATTCTGTACCACTGATCTCCGTATGCATAATATGTAGATACACTCTCGCTCGAACCCCGCTCCTCACCGATTGCGGCGCCCTCTCCCTCTCGCCCTGACGCCTTAGGCAGCCCGATCATCACCAAGGACCTTCTCTTACGCTGCCCGACTGCAGGTATAAACCGGTATCTCGCGTTTAGCAAGCTCACACCCTCCCCCAAAGCACCCGTCATGGTATCCTGTTTGCGTCAACGTGTACTGATGTATATCTGGTTCTCCCAGTACTGCCCTGTGCGCAGGCGTTTTGAAACCCGTACAATGATTCAGGTACGCCTTTTTCTTGCAGGTTTATACCTTTCAGCGGCATTGGAGCTTAAATATGAAATGGTACGCACTTTTCTACGTATCTGCGTTTGATTCACTTTCCCTACGCACATCTGTTTGTGTCGAATCCTTTGTTTGACATTTTGATATGATGGGAATTCCCTTTTGGATCTCGCCTGCGGTGCTCATCCCAAACAAATACCGAACGTGTAGAACACTATGTACGGGTCTTTTGTTGGCTATACTTACGTGCAATTATCTATCATGCGTGTTTTGTCCTTAGCTAAGCCCTCGGGCAAATTCTGATATAACCGTAGTGGTGTGAGAGCCCATTCTTAATTTAGATAGAAATCGCCGGAGCGTAGCTCGGCGTGTCTTGTGACGCTGATTACAACCCATGGCCAACGCGAGCCTATTATCATGACGGGAGATTGGACCATTAAGCTAAAGGGGTAGATAGACGTCGGGATCTATCTCACTCAACGGGCCAAACATGAACATCGCCAAGCCAGGATAAATATTGAAGGGTAATAATTACTGCGCACAAGGCAGCCTCGCTGCGCTACGGCACTTGGGAATGTTGCCCTACCATGTTGCTCGATGGGAATCGCCATCCCATTGTACTGGAAACGAAAACTCGAACACGAGTAGACACAGTGCCCGTGGATATCTGTTGTGCAGACCAGAACCCTACATCGTATACAAATACCGAGCACTAACGCGAGATATGCCACAGCCACAATGCCAAACATGTACAATGCCAAGCCGGGCATATCTCGCGTTAGTGCTCGGTATTTGTATACGATGTAGGGTTCTGGTCTGCACAACAGATATCCACGGGCACTGTGTCTACTCGTGTTCGAGTTTTCGTTTCCAGTACAATGGGATGGCGATTCCCATCGAGCAACATGGTAGGGCAACATTCCCAAGTGTTGAGTTTGTGAGCCTGTCATCATGTTCATGTAATCGGCCGACGCCGAGATAAGATAATTAGACACGAGATGGGCGGATAGACCACTAGAGGAGTCAGAAGCCCCGGGCCAAGGCTCGGGAAGCAGAAGCTATATATTAGAGAATCAGAAGCTAAATACGAGTACAGGAGCTACAGAAGTACTCCTAATGTATTTACTAGTATAAAGGAAGCGAGAAATCTTACCTGAGCGCTATCAGTGTATCACACACTTTTTCTAATCGTAAAACCCAAGACCAAGTGCCGTAGCGCAGCGGGGCTGCCTTGTCAGTCAGCACACAGCAACTGCTGCGACAGAGTTAAGACATCCTTGCTGCGCCACAAACAACATCAAGCCAGACACAAACATTGTAAAACGAAAAGCGGACGTTTCTTTAATATACGGTTAATGGATGTAGCTGAATATGTCTCTGGATGTCACCGAGTCTTGGCAAAGTCTGGGAGAAATCGGGACTAACATCCAAAACGAGTTGTAACTCGCATCTTCAAAATTATGGTAGGCTTTTGTTGACCTTTGTTTGATGACTTCATATGGGTGTTTCCTTTATGATCCTGGCCCGCGATGCTTATCCCGAACAAATCCCGAACGTGATAGAACGGCACTTTGCTGGTGATATACATGCAACTATGGTGCGTCTTTGCCCTCGGATAAGCTCTCTGGAAGATCATGATTTGCTGTAGCGGTGTGAGCTCGTGCCCATTAATATTGCTAACTTCGATAGAACGGTGCCGGAGCGTAGCGCGGCGTGTCTTGTAACCGTAATCTGGAAATGACGCGTCAGGCTTCCGAATTCTGGTTATTTAGTTTGGGAGCGTGTATGTAGATGCAGTATGTGTTCAATTTGAGACTAAGCTTATGCAGGTTCACATGATAAACAACACGCTCGCAGGTGTTACAGTGCTAACCCCGGTAAGCATCAGATCACCGCTACTGGTGTCCAAACTCACTCAGTGATGTATAGGAGGAAACTAGACCGAAGTCTTCAAGCCATTCAAGATTGCCACTCCGCCGTCCGTGATAAGGGTGCTCCCCGCATCACTACTGGTAATCGCATTGGCACTCGAGTTGATCGCGAGGCTCCAGGCATAGGCAATGTCAACAAACTAACCCATGTACAAGATATACTTTGGCAACACGCGTATATAACAGGACAATGCGGTCGAACAGTCAGATTAAACAATCAACGTGAATAGTTGGTAAGGTATGCAATGCATCAATGGTAGTTAACAGGGTCTATTTAAAATGATTTATGCTATACACTGCGCGGTCCACACCATCCAGATCCTTCACAGTTCTGGACTTGGTGGGCGATACTTATGACTCTCTTGCCACATCTTAACCAGTGTTTCACCAAGGGATCTGCCTAGAGCATGGGACAGAGGTATTGGAACTGCATTTCCAAGTTGACGAAGTTGCTGGGCAAACAAAGTTAACCTTCTACGACAAGGAAATAATTTCAAACCTACATTGACCGCCAGCTTATGAGGACCTTGGTCGAATGATTCGAGTTTATAGTGGTCGGGGAATCCTTGAGCTCGAGCTACCTCGCGTATAGAAAGACCGCGTTTTTGCTGTCAACAAACTTTCTGTCAGATTTGATATTTGGAGTTCAGCTGAGTGATTGAGCGTACTGTTGGGTGAATGGACGAGCTAGCATGTCGACCATTCAGTGGCATTGATGTCATGATGGTCTTGAACAGCGAGTTGGGTCGAAGCCTTACTTTCCCTAATATCATTTCAGCTCTCATGCCAGCGTGTTGATGGCGCCGATCAGCTTACGCGGAGTGGGAGAGCCTGACGAACCATCTTCCGAAGTAGACAAATTCTGGAGTACTCTGTTGGATCTTAGATAACTTCGAAAATTGAAACAAATTGCAACCCCACTTCTCAACAGTTGTTGGCTTGTGCAAGGTGGTATAGTGATAAGTGACTTGTGGGGCATCCTTTCTCCTCATCGCCTGCTGGTAGCTCGTCATGGGAGGATAGACATAGTGTGCTGGTGTCTCAAAACCACAAACGCGCTGACATGTTTCTGTCCTTACTGCGGGAAAGGCTAAGATTCCAATATCTTGCCGAGCTTTGGATTCCTCGCGGTCGTTCTCGGTGGGGTTAGGATGCTCCCTACACTCTCAAATCATTTCGCCGAAAGCCCAGCTCAAAAGGTTTACTTACCAATCAAAGGGCGGCTTCAGCATGAGTAGTATTAGATGCAGAAACGACAAAATTCCATGCACTCACCAAATCCCCTATGGCGTCCTCGATGGTCACCATGTCGAAGGGAGCACACGAGTGTAGTCCCGCAGCTTTTTCATACACACAGTCTTGGAGTAGCCATAAGCCTTTACGATCCCAGGTTACTGGCAAGCTCCATGACCCCGTGGGCAATCGGCTCTTTTGAAGAGGGTTCTGCAAAGAATGTGTAGGCAAAGGGAAGGCTGGCATCAGTTCGCCATGCTTTGCACCCCAAAAGATAATGCGCTGGCGACTTTGAGGTGCTCCATACTGGCCGGCGTTCAAGACCTTGAAATGGACTTGGTATCTATGGGCTGTTATCAGGGATACACATCAAATGTGCAGAATCGCTTACCCGAGTGTAAGTAAGCACCGAGTGATGAACTTGACGACGCCGAATTTGATCTGCCCAGGGATTAGCTCGGTGTTTATCATAGTTTGACAGTATATGGGCCTGGATCCGTAGAAACCAGAGAGGGCATGCCTCACGGTTGGACAGACAAGCCAGGATGCCACACGAACTCCGAGATTGGCATGTGGTCGAAGCTATAGCATCACTTCTACAACCGTCTACTGCTCTCGTAAATGCCTTGGCGCAGTCGCGCCGGAGGTACGGTGCAAGTCGACGAGCGCTGAACGCCGCGCAGGGCAATGCCGATCGCTAAGATCCAGTCCAGATACACCCCCAGTTAGTCGAAGTTGGCTGCTTCGCATACCAAGCAAATTTGGTGACTACGTGCAAGATGGACATGCACAACAAGAAGCAACTACATTCCGAGCGAAGGACCCCGGTGACGGGCCATAGGATACGAGCAACTCACCTCTTCCTGGGCATCACTGGAGCGCTTTTTAGGGTGGCATCCTTCGAGCTGATTGTCTTGTTCACGCCTAATCTGATCTTCAAGCTTGTGGCCTAGCATTCCTAGGACGTTCTCCAGCAGAAAGAACCGCGGCCTGTAGAATTCAACATACGACAGCATGTTTGCTACTAGAGTAGCTCTGACCAGAGAGGATGTTAAATAGGTTCGATTAGGGTTTTGAGAGGTTGCCGCACCGGATGTCATCTGATTTCTATTCGACATTTGAGACGCTGAGTAGTTCACCGCGGAATGATGCTTACCTTGTGGCTGTTCATTCTACTGAATGGCTGACAGGGGGGTCCTGTGGCTCCTCAATAGGCAAAGCAGTCACATTCATGTCCCACGCACCTCCGTAAATGAAGTCTACATCCCCGGGCTGCGGCATCGACGGCAGGTTCTCGTTGGTGCCAAGACTTTTGAGGGGTTTGGGGCTATCGCAGTCTGCGACAGCCATCGCATGCTGTAGAAGTAGGCTAGTACATTGATTGTATACGATGGCGTTAGGATGATTTGACCTGAAGAAGGATAAGCAAGGTGATCTCAGAATATAAACAGCAGCTGTTACCCGAATGTCTTTGTAGAGCTTGGGGAGATATCGGCGGCCCACTTTGTGTCTACAAAACCAGACATCTCGAGACCCGTTCCCAAACCTCCTGCACCTGGTTATAAACACTGTCAGCGCTGACTGCAACATGGAAGCTGTCAGGGAAAGGAATTGATACTCACCACAGAACAGTTCCAGCCCTTGAAGACAGCCAGATCGCTTGAGATAGTCAGCTTTGCACCGTAGTTCATCAAGATGCCTGTCGTAACACTCTCCACAGACGGTTTTGGTAAATATGGATTTGGATAGTGTCTCCAAGCTGTCTTCAGATACCAGAGAGGAGTCGGAGAATTGATGGACATAGAAATGATCTTCATCACGAATCCAGTCTGTTACGTCCTTGGCGTCCGGGTTGTCATTGTAGATAACATAGGCCCGACCCTGTATTGTCGACGGAGAGACAGATATGAGCTTGGAGGTTCGAACGAGCTGACGCTTCACAGGCTGTTAGCCCCCGGAATCGCCATCACTACTAAGCCGGTTCTTACCTCGTGGCACTGACGGCGGCCATGTCGAGAGGCGCGGGATTTAATGTCATCATAATGTACATATATCTGCACGGTGAGGTGTCTTGCTGAAGAGTCTATACTAATGACCTGACCCATGTCGAACTTCCGGAATGCGGATGATAGCATTAGGTAGAGGAAGTCACCTGGGTGAATCCTCGATAAACTCTGGTGTGCTTCTGACTGCATATGCTGTGAGTCTCTCCACCAACATACCCGGCAAGGGTGAAAGCTATCCGGGATGTCGAGATCCAAGAAGCTTGAATTAACCTCATCCCAATAAATGCTGTGATCAGGCTCGTAAGGGAGGAAGAGTTCCCAAAGTCGCAGCAAGTACGGACCTGACATGAAAGTCATTCTCCTCATCGCCCACTTCTGGTTCCGAATCTCCAAACTGGAAGTTGTTGACGTGACATTTCTGAGTGATGGAATCCAGGGAAAGATCGTTGCAAGTTGCAGTTGGATATAAAGAGTTTGGATGCGCGATTTCTTGAAGGATAGTTTTCGAGCCGTGGACAAACCATTGTCCATGAAACCCTTTTTCAGTAGAGTTCTCATAGAAGTACCATATTCTTGTAAACCTTCACAGTGAATGTCAAAGATGGCGCATATGACACACAGTACAGAAGACTTGTCACCATTGCGTATTTCCAAGTGAGTTTGAGGACTGGGACCACGGACTGTCATAGTTAGAAGCCTGCGTGACGTTGTCGTTGACGCCTGGAAGTACCATGACAACGTCCCCAACCTACTCGGGTCAGTCGAGTACAACGAAGGGAAATCATTGACCTGCCTTGTACTCTATTCCATCCAACTCGACGCCCTGGTAGTAAGTAGTATCAAGGAACTCTGTCCCAGAATCTAACCATTCAACCGAATTCATATTTGTGTGATGAACGGCATGAGACTGATACATGTCTTTGCGTGTCCAATCCTCACGATCGAGCTCACCCAGAACTGAGAATCCCTGCTCGAACATTCTTGTGGCCAGGCTTCCGACCAGAGGTGTTACAGTCGTTGTATTGCGTTTCTGGAAAACGCCAAGCTCGACATGGCCCTTTCCCAATTTTCGCTGGCGATCGGTCTTTGAGTTGTTGACTAGATCTAACTCGGAGCACCAGGAAGATCCTAGGACGTGTTGCACAGCGGGGACCTGCCCAAAACACACCGGCAGTTCTGAACGATCCATGCCGTCGAGTATTGACAGCAGGTATGCCACCTGCAGTATCAACGTCACTAGAAAATCACCGAGATAAATAGGTGCTGACTCACTGTGTCATCCTTCTCAACATCCGTGCTTGAGAGCTCTCGCCCGAGCATAGCAGTAAGCTGTTCAGAAACTTCGCTAGATCTCAGCTGGGCAATAAACTCCTCGTACTTGAGCTCGGGATTTTTTGAGGTAGTCATTAGGACGTGAAAGACGCTATGCTTGATCTTAAATGGCACGAAAAATGATTGGTACTCAGACGAAGGGTTGTTGATGATATACCAAGCGTGACCTGTGCGAATCCAGATCCTTCTACATCAGCATCAGTAACCATATATCGAGAAGACTCGTATGACAACGGCGCACGGATCGAGTTTTCCATCGTTCAGGCTGTCGTGAATAGATACTTCCTTGATAGTTGAAAGTTCCAGTGAATGCCACTGAAAGTCGCTAACAATATTATCTGATTCCGAGTCGTCCTCTGCGTATGCCATGACTTTCCCGACCGCAGAGTAGCTTGACCGAGGTGAAGCGCAGACTCTGAAGTCGTGTAACATCTCTTCAAACGGGACCATTTGGTGTGACTGTTCTTTGAACAGCGTGAAGTCTTCAAGTAAACGGATGGGGATGTCATCTAAATCGGTGCTTGGTTCGGGTTCGGTCTCGCCCCGAGGTCGAAACCCGGCGTTCTCGAGAGTACACTTGGTGACTGCTTTTAAGACACTGTAAGCTGTGTCTTGAGCCAGACACGGCGCCACTTACCGACGCGAGGAAGATGGCGAGGATCCTTCGAGTCACCATCAAGCGGTGTCTTAAAGAATCCTGTGGAGGAGGTTACCCTCTCGCTGTCGGCACTGCTGTCATCTTTCAAGACCTTATGATGGGTGAGTCCTACAGGGCACATGCGATGTATGTCTGTTAACGCCGATGAGTCATCCAAAAGGTAAATTGGTTTGTGTTACCCGGAGTTCGCGTTGTATGCATGCATTCAGATGTCGCCTCGGAGGTCTCGGATTCTGGTTCTGAGTCCGATACTTCACTTTCTGACATGCTTGCTGACCATATGTATGGTTTCTTTGGGACAAGCTAGAATATGGTGACAGATTAGCGGGTACTCCGGCTGAGTGTGCTCACGCTTACCGGCATGCGATGGCAAGGGATTGAATGGAGAGAGGTGTGGAAAGGGGCACCAGTAACGCGTTTTGGTGTGAGAGCTTGACTCGCTTGGCGATGAGGCGGCTTCGGAGGGAGACCATCCGAATTTAGTAATAAAGAAGACACGCCTCGGTGCGCTGCGGCTTTTACCATTTGATGTTATAATAACCATGGATGGTAATCTTGGTGATATTTATCTGGCATACACCTCCGGTTGAGCTAGGAATGCCTGGGATATGATTAGGCGCGTTTCCAAGGCATATCGCCCAGATTACATGGTGAGCACATTTCAGCGGGGTTTGTCGGCTGAAGAGTGGGAGGTAAAAAAAAAGATTCCCATCACTTGTAAAACAATACATCCACGCTGATTTGAACACCGGCATCGTTGCTTTGAACGCGGTTACTTACCCATTGCGCCATTGCGCTGTTAAGAGCATAGCTGCTGGATGACTTTATATCTAGCTACTTGTGGACTTGGTAAAATTTCGTTGTCTTCGCTTCTCTCCAATGTCAGCTATTCAAACCATAGTACTGTGATTCATCGTCAGAATAGACAGACTTTTGTGCAACGCGTGTGGAATATTTTTCCTTCGCCCAACTTGCTTAAATTTAGGTTTGAGATGTCCTTGGTATGTGATCTACCTTACAAAAAATCGCTGAGTGAAGAAAGCATAGGGTGCATGTACAATGCACGAATCAGTGTTTTAGGCCGAATACCGTCAGAATAGACAGTCCGCGCGGGTGGTGATAATCCATATTAGGCAGGCCGTCCACCATAGCCGGTCTCAAAAAGGAAAGTCAGGGCGTTATCGCCGAGCCGAAATCGCCGTTACAGCGGCTATAAGATTATGGCAATGCTCGAGAGGACACTCTGTCATCGTTCCGACATATTGAGAGTTGTCGCCTTTTGCAGCGTCCGAAATCTCTCCAACGAAGGTTAAAGATGTACTTACAACATATAATAGCTATATCATTCACACTGTGTCGCATGTTCACAGCTGGTTATCCGCCGAAGCTAAGAAATTTTTTACAACACCCTATTTTTCGTGCTTTGAGGCTTGCAGCTTCACATCCAGACATTCCCTCGCCAATCGCATGTACAGGCATGAAGTACAGCATATTCTCGTAATTAACATGAATTTAGTTTGAATGATTTGCTAAGGAAACGGGCACAAAAGCGAGTTGTCTATTCTGACGGTGGTGTCTACTCTGACGGTGAATCACAGTAGTAGTGTGATTGGAAGACTTCAGTGAGCATCTTATGATCAAGCAAGTGTATAATTTTGGTGTTTTAATGCAGAAGAAATGAAAGGTACCAATACATTAATCAAAGCCCAAACAATGAGTGAACAAAGATAGCAAAATTTTACTAAGTCGACAAGTAGCTAGATATAAAGCCATCCAGCAGCTCCACTCTTGGCAGCGCAATCGCGCAATGGGTAAGTAACCGTGTTCACAGCAACGATGCCGGTGTTCAAATCAGCGTGGATGTATTCTTTTGCAAACGATGGCAATCTTTTTTTTTACCTCCCATTCTTCAGCCGACAAACCCCGTTGAAATGTGCTCACCATATAATTCGGTGATATATCGCGCACACATGCGCCTAATAATCATGCCCCTGGTAGGTTCTAGCAATGTTGCCGAGACGCGACTTTGAAATTATGTTTGTAGCACATTTCACTCGACCCCCGGTGTGGGGTAACTGGGATTGAGGGGGGCACTATTTTTGCGTTTTGGCAGGGAAATTGGCTACCCGACAAAAACCATGTGACACCACGTGACTATCCAATGTTATGATAACTCGTATCTTCAAAATTATGGTAGGCTTTTGTTGACCTTTGTTTGACATTTTGATATGAGGGTTTCCTTTTTGATCTTGGCCTGCCATGCTTATCCCGAACAAATCCCGAACGTGGTAGAACGACACTTTGTTGGTGATACACAGCGGGAATAACCCGATAAGTTCTCAGGACTTATGGTGGAATATTGAAGACGTATTTGAACTTTGTTTTGCAGGAAAATCGAGAATTATTGGGTACTTAGCGGGGAGATATTCTGATCAAATTAACTTTTATGACCAAATTGGCCGTGTCAAGTGTAAATTGCCAAACTTTATTCAAAATGCGTCCCTAGTAAGTTCCAAAATAAGTCTCGCTGTCCTGGCAAAATTTCATTCAATTGCATCCACAGTATTTCCACAATAAATCCTGAGAATTTATTGGGCTACTCCTCCTGTGGATAAGTACGTGCAATCATCTATGGTGCGGTTTTGTCCTCGGCTAAGCCCTCGGGAAAATTATGATATGCTGTAGCGGTGTGAGCTCGAGCCCATTAATATTGCTAAGTTTGATAGAAAGTGCCGGAGCGTAGCGCGGCGTGTCTTGTTCTAAGACTAATTACTATTGTTCCGGCATCAAATATGTCAACGATGCTGTTACGACGCTGACGAACACCGACCCCACTCACCGAGACTCCCTGTACTGCTCCTGCTCCTCATGCACCCACGACAGCTCCAACTTCTCCTGCAGAGACCCGGCAAAATGCCGAACCCACCTACGTCGTATACTCCACCGCCTACCCGGCAGATGGCACCCGTCCGCACACGCTTACGAGAGGCACGTCCCCACCGAACGCGACATCGCGAAGGTTGGCAATAGTGTGTCCCTTTTCAGCGGTACCCCCGCCGACGATTCAATCCCACATCCCGAAATCAGGATCTTCGCGGATGAACCGCTTTCCACAGCCCCTTGGCCCATGCCTAGCGAGGACGTCAACACCGACCTGGAACAACGCACCACCGTATACACCGCCGGCCGATGCCAGATGCGCTGTGACGGACGTCATCCACTCTGGGGGCGCCGACATAACCGGGGCTACACCTGTGGAAGTCAGATGTAAGAAAACCACGATCGACAGCTCATCAGTGCTGGGAGAAACACTCGCTGCGATACAAGCCCTTCCATACACATCTGCATATACGCCCCTCCTTCTCATCATAGACTCCAAAGACCTCCACGAATGGTTAACTCACAAAATGGGCATGGAAGAAAACCGTTGTTGGCTATCCTTAGAACAACACGAACGCGATCCAGTTCGATCCCTGGTGGTCCGCCTATGAACCAGGTTTGCACCTACCCTAATACAACTAAGCAGAAGCTGCTCTGACGCCGACAAAGTTAAACGCGCCCGTAGCCTGGCGGAAGAAGGCGCCGAAGAAGCAACAGACACACCTCTAGACATAACCATTCCCCCATCCACAGCCGTCCACGGAATGCCCCTAGGAGCTGGCTCTCAGGTGATCTTCTACAAAATCATTCAAAATCGTCGACGCCCCGCCATCAGGAAACGCACTGATGTCTAAATCTCCCGCACAAGACACGCCGTCGCCGAGGCAAACCGCGATACGCCCCCAACATCCGAGATCTGGAAAGCCACGCGCAACCCAGACGCCCCGATCGAATGGTGTGGATTCCTGTGGAAAGGACTTCACGACGGATACAGTCTTGGAAACCAATGGTTGAACATACCTGACTGTGAAAATAGAGCCCTCTGCTTCCTATGCCTGAAGAAGAAATTCTCGAACACATCCTGCTGGACTGTACAAGCCCTCTCGCCCCCATCCGCACTGTCTGGTCCCTGGCAGAAAAGCTGTGGCGAAGGAAAGGCACGCAATGGCCGACGCTGACCATCGGTACCATCTTCGGCTGTAGCCTGATCCACATCCGTAAGCACGACGGCAAGAAACGCCCTGGAGCTACTCGTCTCTTTCGTGTCCTGACTGAAATCTCAGCGCACCTGCTATGGAAACTGCGGTGTGAACGGGTGAACACGATGCCTCAAAACCCCCCGACGGCCCACCCTCTAGAAGAAGCACACAACAGATGGATACGCGCGGTTAATGAACGACTGACCCTGGACAAGCTCCTCACCGACGAAGGCCGCTTCGGCATCCGGGCGACGAAAGCTAAGCTAGTCCTCCAAACATGGGGCGGAACACTCCTAGACGAAGACCGCCTCCCCAAAGACTGGATCAAGGAAGCAGGGGTTTTAGTGGGTATCACCTCAAGGCGTCCTCCGGGGCGTAACAGGTGAGCCCCACACTGCCACGGTCGTGGCGTGCGTAAAGGCATTCCCCCTGTCTCGGAACGATTATATTTTGGTCTCTGTCTCTCACACCTGAGGCACCGGTGAATCGGACGGCTGAGAAGATCCTTAGAACGATGCATTGCGCGATTGTAAATCTTATAAACACTGTTAAACCCGCCCAGAGGGATAATAAGGGTTTAAATAGATATTTACATCTCCAAGGCGATCAGAGGCTAAGGGTAAGATTCAAAATATGTCAGCAAGGGCGACTCAAAACATTTGAATGCATCGTTGCTATGGCAAGATTTATAACATTTATGACGGATCGAAGCGGTGAGAAGATTGTAAATAGAAACTTGAACCATATGTGTATAAAGAGGATAAAAGCGATCCTTGGCGGGCCAATCAGAAGCCTTGAACAGGCGGACGATTTTAAATCGTTGCAATAATATAGGAGGTGTTCCTGGGAAAAATGACACAGCATCGCAGATTTATAGGAAGATTTAAAATTCATCCCCGCATCGACGACCACAAAAGATCCTTTCGGATCTATTCAAAATCAACAGAGCCGGTGGGTTCAAAGTTTTTGTTACCATCTTCCGTCCCCGTCCATTGTAAAAG